CTATGATATTTTATGAATGAGAGTATGTTTTTAAAATGAAAAATTGTTTTGGAAATTCACGTTGTTACAATATGCTAGCATTCGTTATCGATGTGTTGATTTTATGATTGGGGGTGGGTTGAGGCGGACTTGCTTTGTGTTGTAGGCCAACATACCCAGGGCGGCCCGGACAGACTGCAGGCCATGGGGGCATATCAGTCAGGCCGAAGGCCCGGAGAACGGTCCAGACAGGCTGAAGGCCTGGTAGGGCGGACCGGACATGCTGAAGGTTCTGAGAGTGGGCCAGATAGACTGAAGGCCCGTTGAGGGCGGTCCAGTCTTACTGCAGACTCTATATGCGTGCTGTTTGTTATGATATGGTTGTGGTTTGTATGACGTTGGTATTTTGGGGGAACTCACTAAGCTTTGGGATTACAATTGTTGATTTTGTTTCAGGTACTTCAGATGATCGCGGAAAGGCGAATGCGTGATCGTGCACCTCCTCATGTTTTCATGATTTGATTCTGGGATACTCTGATATGAAACTATTTTGAAAACAATTTGTAATAATTATTGGTTTTGAATGTTTTAAAAAGTTCTTTAAGTTGGCTTGAATTTTATGGATGTTATACTTACGGTTTTCAGTTTTGGTTTCAGGTACTTTTTCTTCAAAAGGAAAGAAGTCGGCATGATCGCAGCGCATCACACTATGTTTTTCCGCACATGAGATCTTTGGGAGTTGTATTCTGATATTATTTTTCTATGACATGTTTTGGTTATTTGACATATTGGTTTTGATTATGATATGGGATGCCACTGTAGATGTTTTCAGAATTCTGTTTTTATAATTACTAAATTAAAAATGAAATTTTTGGTAATGAATTTTGGGATGTTACAAGTTCATAAGAGTTTTTTATTAACTTTTTTCCAACTTTAAAATATAAAATTTTAGAATTTTTTCTTAATTTTTTCCCCAACTTTTATATTATATCATATACATTAACAGACTATTTTTTCTAGATATTTATGCGGCACTTTGATTTGATAAAATATCAAAAATATGATTTAAAATCATACACGATAATAAAAGGACGATTAGTCGCATAACCTTTCTTTTGAATTTCATCAAAATTGCCGCACACTTATTGAGAAAATATGGTTTGTTAATACATATGAGACAATGAAAAATTTAGAAAATTAAAGGTTAAGATGATGTTGTAAAAGAATTTTTTTTTAAATGTTATTAACCATTATAAAAATATCTTTAAAAAGTTGTAGAAAAATTAATTTATAAAAAAAAATTAAATTTGTAGAGAATTTATAACAAAATTTTAAATTCTAACCAAATGTTTAATAAAATTTAAAATCTTGGTCAAAAACATAAAATTTGAATAAAGATGACATATTCAATCTGATATAATCATATAGAAAACATGAGTCGATTATTTTTTAAAACTTTAAATTGATTATTTTGCAATTTTAAAACATTTTAAAAGACTAATTTCTAGAAAATAATGATAATCACTATGTATGTTTATGTTTAGGAAAAGTAAAATGTGAAATTTCCCTTAACATTGACACTCGCATTGTGAAACTATAATTGAAATCGACTTGTATCTAAGTTGCCTTACTAAACTGAAAAATAAATAAATAAATAAATAAATAAAAATAAAAAAAATACCTCAGATCAAAACAATTCGATGATCCATTTTAGCCCATTTTAATTTGAAATATATTCTAATTCATTACTTCATTGTCTGTTTCAGCCATTAAATTTTGGCAGTTGTCTACCCTTTTTATCTATATTTTTAATGAAGAGACAAAAGACACCCACATATGAAGATTCTGATCTTATTTTTCTCCTATACTTTGATTATTTAATTTCAAAATCATTAAATTGCAACAAAAACACAATACATCATGTCCCCTAACAGTTGTATTTCCAATTATTCTATTTCTTTTCACGTGTACATATTTTTATATTAATTTATAAATTCAATTGATATGTACTATTTTCTTTTTCATGTTAAATATTCAGTTGGTAATTCCGATTTTGGTGAACAATGTATCAACAAGTGGTCCTAATTTTATAATTAATACAAACGATTTGTAAATAAACAAGTAATTACAATATTAAACTAATGCCTCCTTCTAGAGTTATGGTACCATAAGAGGTGTGCAATTATCAATGAAAGTTATATAAGCTGAAAATTATTATTTGTTTGATTCAATTGAAAATACCAATATCAAAAAAAATCTAATGTAACATAATATTGAAAAAAAAAAAAAATCTTAATTCAACCCGACCCCATTACCAAAAGTTAGCCGTTCATCGACTCTGCATACAAAACATTTAGATCTGCTGACGTCCTCACAAGTACAAGCCCTAAATCTAGGATATCATAAAATTGTAAAATCAAAACTTGTGTACAAGTTTTAATGCAAATAGTACACATAAAATAGCAACAGCGTCTTGGATCCAGGAATTTATGATATAAGAAAACGAACAGTTGTCAAGAAGCCACCCTTGTCTTCTATATATATAAACACAAAAAGGCACTTTGAATACCTCCATTGCAATCCAAACAAACATCACAAAAAATGGCCCAATTGCTTCTTCTTTTCTTGATCTTAACACACACATTTCTAACCCTAGCATCACCATCTGCAGAAATCGAGCCTTCTGTGGTCGGACCACCACAAACAGCTGAAGCACCCAGAAGTCGTAAACTTGGGAACCATCATGTAAGCGAATCGGAGCCGCCAACCACCGCAACATCAAGGGATCATGAAGCGAACGGTGGGAGTACGGAGGAGGAGAGTGGAATGTACTTGGAGAAACAACATCAACACCACCATGGTTCAGGGTCGGTCGATAAGTCAATTGCCGGTGGTGGGGTGATCCTTGGAGGGTTGGTTATGGCTTTTGTGGTGTCGATCGTGTGCTACATTCGAGCCACCAGAAGAAGAAGTATCGTGGAACCACCCACGCCAACCACCGTCCGGGGTGTTTGATTGGGTTCGATGACACATTCTGTTGATAATATATAATTTACTTAACAAGTAAATAGATTCTTCATAATTTTTGTTTATAATCTGCTGCATCTTATTGCATTTGTTCATATATGATCGAGTATAATTTAAGTTATTTTTTGTGACATTCGATATTTTATTAATGAGCTGTTTGTAGCCACATGGCGCATTTTCTTCTAATTATTTGATCATGGTGATATTAAGTTGTAGAAAAATAATTTTTAATGTTCAGGTAAAATAACTTTAATTATGATTATCAAATTACATTGACGATCAAAATTAGTTTTGAGCTAACTTATCTGCACAAAGTGTGATTATTAGGTGGTGATTGTTTTTTGTACGAAATATTCTTGGCCTCTTTCAGCTGCATCAAGAGACCATGCACATACTTAACATTTGCAGAACTTTTGTTTTTTAGTAGATATTGGACCTAAAACAAGTCCTCTTTTGATGTAAATATGGATCAAAGTCTTCTAATCTCTTCATATATCTTCTAGACTAAAAACATCTTTTTTTTTGTGCACGTAAAATCAAATTACTCATCGTAAAATATCAACAACGATTAAAATGATTAGAATTCTTTTTGTTCGAATGTCTTTTTTGTAATATTTTTTTATTTTAACTACAATGAAATACAAAAAATATAAAATACATCCGTTAATTCATACCATTTTTACTTTTGTTTTTTTATATTATTGACATATCTATAAAAAGATATTATATAAAGTTTTTTTCGAAAGCAGTGAACTATCTAAATTACACTAACCAAAGGGCTTCTAGCCCAGCCGTATCTGGTGTTGCCCTCCTTCCTTGAGGTCGAGGGTTCAAGTCCCGTCGTGGATATATATGAATTTAAGGAGAAGTTTAAGAGTATGTTAGATTTGCCGATTAAAAAAAAATTAAACTATGTCTATTCACTCATTTGTTGGTAAAAGCAATTACAATTCAATATTGTTTCAAAAGATCAAAGGAGTTACCATTAAATCAATTTACCAATACCAATATAAATAACTAAAAGATATTTGTTTCGTAAAATAGAACAATCTACATCCTCCCTAATAAATGAAAACAATTTTGTCATTTGTCAATCTCTTATGAGTTTTGATACTTGTCATTTTGTGGTATTTTTGAAATAAATATTATCTACTTGTTAATTTCTGGTTTGTTTTGATTTTTAAAATTAAAGTCATATACTTATATATGTAAAGTATTAAATATAATATATATGAAATGAAATTGCAATGAATACGTTTCTTCCTTTCTTATTCTAAAGTTTTACATTAAAAAATATTTACTGCTTACACTTTAATGTTTAATCTTTTTTTAAATTAACCCTTGTAATACACGGGTCTCACACCTGGTCAACTCATAAGCACATAAAATATCAATTCTTGAATCAAATCATTTTCCAAAAATTAAACTATTTACAATTCAAACAAGTAGAAACACTCAAACAGGAAAAAAAAGCTCCAAAAATTCTAAAGAGAAAAATCATAAAGGGAAAAAGTTGGGGCTAGTAATGATTAAACTTCAACTATTAAAGAAGATACGTATACTAATATAATGCATAAAAGAGCATCCACAATGCATAGTTCAATAGAAAAAGTTGATGAGGTGGCATGTCTAATTGGCCTTCAATGGATTAAACTTCACCATTGTGGGATGTCATGTTGACATTCAATGAATATTGAGTTCAATGACCAATGAACTCTTCAATGGGAAAAAAACCTATTAACTATTAAATATGTATTCCATTGAACTTTATTGAGTTCAATGCATTGTAGGAAAATTAATATAGAGTTGTATAGTAAGTAAACTGATGATGTGTCAATCCATTAAACTCTAATAAGTTTAATGCATTGTGAATGCCTTAAGATTCAAACACGATGAAAACAAAAATACCACATAATTGATTAAAATATCAAAAATAACCCCAATCTTCATAAGATTGAACCATCATCACCAAGTTTCTTTTATCATTCATATATCAAGAACCAACCGAAACCAGTTTATTTTACAAGTCCATAGACGTTAGAAAATAAACAGTCTTCTTTTTGTAGACTGAATAGTTCGCGGGACGGTTCGGCTTGGATATTAATTAAATTGTGAATCACGACCATGGGACGGGTACCACACGAGCACTAACCGAAACTGAACCAAATTGGTCAAAAACCGAACCAAACTGAACCGTGTAAAAGCTAGTAACCACGATTCGGTTCATGGGTATCCACTAAAATAAAAAAATCAAAATCATTCGAAACTAATAAATCAACGGATCAAAGCAAAGTTGTTAAAAAGATGTTCAACAAAATGACCTCTTATACGACTAACATTGGGAGACTTGAAGTGAAGGTGGTCTAAAACAAGTTAATAATTTCTAAAATTCTCACATAGACACACACCCTTCTTCGAAACATGTGTTGTTTTTTTCCACTTATGCTTCAACAGTAAACTTAT